GTCCTGGAACTCACTTTGTAGACCAGGCTGGCCTCGAACTCACAGAGATCCACCTGCCTCTGCCTCCTGAGTGCTGGGATTAAAGGCGTGTGCACTATTTGTCTATTTTAATGTTATTACCGTTGTTGTGGCCGTTATTATTAATTATTATGTGGATTTGGCTTGAGGACAAGTGGTCAAACCTGGCTCTCTAGGGCTGCCTGGGTCCTGGGTCCGACCTGAAAGCCTCCATTGCAAGCCCATTTACCCCACAGCAGAGAGGGCTTAGCGGAATTCTACAGGGCCACAGATTCTTCCAGGTGTTCCTGCAAATTCTGTTCATTCTGCTCATCCCAAGCGAACCAGTGGCATCTCCCTGGTGCGGCATCAATTCACAGGCAGGCAGAGCAACTCAAATACTGCAGGAGAGGCTTCATCCACAGCAAACGCCCTTCACCCTCATGCATACGGAAGACAGACACCACCTCTTCTCACTACCTGGTGCCAGAGGGGCAAGTGCGGCTCTGTGCAAAGCCTGGGTCTCCTCAGAAGTGTGCATCTCAGCAAAAGTGGGGTCCCAGGCAGCTCAGCACCCTGGAGTCATACTCATCTCTGCCACTGGACTTACGAGAGATATTAGGGGCCTTTTCTCCTGCTGGCCAGATGTCCAGTCAGATTCAACATGCAGCTACCTCAGAACAGGCTTCTGAAAGGCTCCTGGTCAGTTATGGACTTGTTTAGGGTCATGAAATGTCAGCTTGGCTGTGATCCACAGCAGGCACTTATAATCACAGCCAGATGGAAGAGAGTGTGGATTCCTGGCAGCTGGCTAGTCTAACCCATTTGGAAAAGTTCCAATAAGAGACCTTATCTCAACCAAAAGGTAAAGGCACCTGAGGAGTGGCCCTCAACCTCCACATGTGCGTGTGCATGCTCACACTCACACACAAGTGCCTCTCTGAAGCAACCTCTTTACACTGAAAGAGCCACTGCCCTGCTCACCTCGGACCACCACAGATGGGTCTCTGGGTACAGTGAAGGAGCTGCCAGGAAGAGGAGTCACAGCATCTTCTGGAGGAGGAGGAGGAGGAGGAGGAGGAGGAGGAGGAGGAGGGGAGTATCCTGTTTCCCCAGCCCAGCTGGGAACACCAGCCTAAACCTTCCAGGTCTTCCAGCACATTCCACTGAGAAACTGACTTCTTGCCTCAGGCTGAGGACCTCACCCACCTAGGCATGCCAGGACCCGGGTTCTCCAGAGCACCTGACCCTATGAGTCACCAGTTATCCGTACACACACCACTCCATAGCTGCTTGCCTAATAACTTGAGGCCAGGTCAATACACATCATGGAACTAGAAAGCAAGATGGACACTCAGAAGCAGGAAGTAGAGGTTAAAAGGTTATGGTTAAAAGGAGGCCTCTGGTGCATCAGTTCTTTAACCCTGTGTGGAGGACCAGGAGGGGTGGCGCACCTTTAATCCCAGCACTCTAGAGAGGCAGAGGCAGGTGGATCTCTGTGAGTTACAGGCCAGGACTACATAGTGAGATCATCTTCCAAAAAATAAAAATGGGGGTCTGGGGAGAAGGCTCAGCAGTTAAGAGCACTTCTTGTTCTTGCAGAGGCTGGAGTTTGATTCCCAGTACCCACATGGTGGTTCACAACCACTTGTATCCAGTTCCAGGAGATCTGAAGCCTTCTTCTGACTTCCTCAGACACCAGGCACCCATGTGGGGCAAGCAAAACACCCACACACATAAAATGAATAAATCAACAGAAATAAATTTAAACTGGGGTGGTGGCGTACACCTTTAATCCTAGCACTCAGGAAGTAGAGGCAGGGGGATAACTGTGAATCTCAATAAAATAAAGCACCGTGTTGAGATCGTTTTCTTTTCTTTTTTGAGGTGGGTCATGCTGTGCAGCCCTGGCTAGCCTTGAACTCGATACTCTCATTTCCTCCCAGTGTTGGATTATAGGTGTGTACCACTGTGCCTGCTCGCTTTGAGGTTTTTAGGGATTTTGTTTTGTTTCCTGCTGCTGCCCTTGGCTTTGGATTTTTGAGACAGAGCCTCACTCCACGGGGAAAGATGGAGTGGGACTCACTGTCTAAACAAACCAGTATTGAGAGTTCTTATGTGTGGAGACAGATCTCCTTGTTCCTTAGATCCAAGGAGAAGCCCAGAGCCTATCTGATGAGCTCGGGCCAGGGTTGCCGTTTCCTCTGCCTCTACCTGCTACACTAAGAACAAGAAAACAGGCTGCACATGAGCCCTGGTGGGACAAGCATCTGGGTGAACCTAGCACAGCAGTTCTCAACCTGTGGGTCATGACCCCTTTGGGGGTTGAATGCCCCTTTGACAGGGGCCACCTAAGACCATCAGAAAACACAGATATTAACATTACAGTTCATAACAGTAGCCACATTACAGTTATGAAGTAGGAATGAAAATAATTTTATTGCTGGGGGGTCACCACACATGGGGAACTGTATTAAAGGTCACAGCATTAGGAAGATTGAGAACCACTGTGATAGGAACGTGGAGTGGTGATCAGAGCAAAAGCCAGCTGTCCAAAGTTCATCACGGTGTGAGTCGGTCACATCAAACCCTTTAATCCATCGTGTTTATTGAGCACCATTGTGTGCCCGGTGCCTCACAGACACACAGGTGTACTCTGTCCAGCCTGCTTCCCAGAATTACAGTCTAGGCAGGCAGGCCCAGCACCGCCTTGCTAGGAGCCCTGCTGTCTTCACGTTGGCCCTGCTGTCTTCACGTTGATTTTCTTTCTTTTTTTTTTTTTTTT